CGCCAGCGGCTTTGGGAATACAGGGGTTGTACCCCAAAAATTGTGGGAGCAGCTTTTGTTGCTTGCAGAGGATTCTGGAGAGCTCCTTGGTAGGGGACAGAGGGAATGGGAGGCTGGAGTGACCAGCTGTGGCTCCACACTCGTGCTGAGCCAGCTCCCCTTCCCAGGAACACAAGTTTGGGGAGGGGGAACACCAGGATGGACTTGGGAAAACCTCACTTTCCAGGAAAAAGGCAGAAGGTGCAAATAAAGCAGAGTTTTCTTATTTTAGACACAGTTTTCTTACTGAACATCAAAGCTGGGATGTAACAACCAGGAGTAACTCCAGTCTTGGAGGAGATTGCTGATGACAGCAGAGAACTGTGGTGGGGTAAATTTATTTAAAATGGGATTAATTTGTCTAAAAATAAAGCCCTGCAGACATTTTAGATGTTTCCTTTAGTTAATGAGATTTCCATGATAGTTAAAACAATGAAATTAGCAAACAATGCCGTTAATCTCGGATTACAAGCAGCACTAGGGAAGAATTAGTAAAATAAATCAAGAAGATTTAAGGCACTTTGCTGTCCAATAAAGTAACTGGGATGGGAGCTCCACGCTGTGTTTTCCTGGGATTAAGGAAGAGGTGATCAGGATCTGCCTTTAACCTGGAATGTTTGAGTATGGAAATAAAATTTACTCAAACTGAAGCCTTGATTTAACCCATACACAGTAATTACTTATATATGAGCTATCAGTAAATAACTACTGCTGCTTCACATGCAAAAATTCAAATTATTTTCAGTCAAAAGCCTCAAATTAAATCACAGCAACTTTATACACCCCACATTTGGCTGTTCTAACCAGCAGTATGAAACGGGGATAAAAAGACAGCCCAAAATAGGATTACACAGAGCAGCAATAAAAGGAGAAATAATCTTTGAAGAAATGATGGAAGAACAAATTCTAAGGGCATTAAGAAGGAACAAGTCATGGTTTCAATCACAGCCAAGCAGGAGATTGCTAATCTCATGTGTACAGCAGATAAATCTGGGAGGACAACAAATTGCATTTTAATTTATGGACTGAAAAGGTTAATTTTTAATTCCCTCTACTCACTCCAGAAATCAGGGAAATACAGACTGAAACTAATAAAGTAATGGATCCTCAAAAACACAGGGAAAACATTTCATTTCCAGGGGGTGCTTTTGGTAGAAATTTAAATACAATCCATTAGTTTATTATTTAAAAACAAATTTATTTTTGAGTAGTTTTTATTATTTAAAACCAAAATTTATATTGTGTCCCTTTAAATTACCTGAAATCAAAGGAGCTTCTTGATCAGCCCACAAATGTCTAAAAGGAGAGGAGAGGCTGGTAAGGAGAAAAAGTTATTAAAAATTATTTTAAAACCCTTCTTAGCAATAGTTCAGCAGGGCCTGGTCACAAAACACAATTCTCATCTCCTGCAAAACTTCCAGGCAGCCAAATTTCCAGGCACTGACACTCAGACAACAAATGACTCAACATTTAGAGCGGTTTTCAGCACGAGTTGTGCAATTAGACATAATTATTTATCCCCATTGTAAAGCAGGCCATTGAAACACTGCTCATGTAAAAGGAATTAACAAATGTGTCCTTGTCCTTTCTGCTGTTGGTGTCAGCTCTGCAGTAAAATCATTGCCTTGGAGCACAGGCAGCCCTTAAATGCAAAATAATCACAATTCTCCTGAAGTTTCGCTGGATAATTGAGGAGTTTTGTACTTGAGTTCTGAGTTTGGTACAAACCACTTTGGCTTCTAACAGAGGCTTCCCTGGAAACCGTGGGAATCTGTTGGAAGTCCCACCATGGATTACAGAATGGCAGAACCTTGGAGTTTTTAAGGCTGGAAAAACCATCTGAGCCACCACATTGGCAACAGCCCCAGAGCTCTGCAGGTGAATAAATGACAAACACTCATTATGTGCAGCTTATCAAAGAGTATTTCCAGAATGCTTGTGAGTATTCCAGAGTATTTCCAGCAAATATATCAGCTGCTTATTTTTTAAAAAAAAACAAAAACAAACAAACAAACAAACAAAGCTAAACTGCCAAAATACCGAATCCAGGAACTTTCAGACCTCAAGAGAGAGCCCAGAGTGGAGGAGACACCCAAAGTGGGTTTCAGGGTAAACTTTCCAACAGCCACTGAGCTACTGCAGCAAATTTGTTCCACGAAATTAAACAATGTACTGGCAATTTAAAAATCTGAGATGAATTGAAAAGCTGAGTTTGAAAACTGCAGGCAACCCCAAGCATTTACAGGAGTGCAGAGAAGTTCAGTGTCTGGCTGGGAAACTCCTCTGGCTCAATTGTCAGGCCAGGCTTCTATTTTTAGCCCAGTAATTAAATTGCAGAGCCTGATGTTTTGTAGAGGGTTAGAAAGGATTCCAGAGGTGCAGGAGAATTCAGCTTGGCTCTTGCTGAATAAACTCTGGCCATCCAGTCACAGCCTGGCCATGTTAAATGAAAAGGAAAACATGTGGAAGAGCTGGACATAATTCCCAGACAATAGGGTGATGTCAAAGCTAAAAAATAAGGAAAAAAATCTCGGTGAAGGGTTTTTTCTGAACTAAACACAAAGCAGAGTTGTTTGGGTTTGGAGGGAGCAGGGGAGGAAGGACACGGGGGAGGAAATAAGAGGAAAGGGTGAAGTTTTCCAGAAAAACTTGCACTAGATTCAGGCTCTTAGAAGCTTCAGGATGGTGCTGCTCCAAGAGCAAGGGCTGGACTGATTTAGGATTTTCAAACAAGTAGGACTGCAGCCCTGTGTACAAGGGAAACATTAAATAGTCATGCACAGAACATAAAGCTCTACTAAAATCCAAACCCGGATTTAGCATCTCTGACAAGCTCCAGAATACCTCGAGGAATCCCAACCATCTCCTGCTGCAAAGTGAGAGGAAACATTGACTGGAAAAGGAAATTCTGTCCAATTTATAATTGAAATGTGCAGTGATGAAACTCCTCTCAAAGTGAACATGAGGGCAGCTCATGCTGTACAGACAACTGGACACTCCCATTAATTATGGGAATAATTGGCTGTTTGTGCAGCCAAACCCCTCTAACTGCAGCCAGCACAGCTTTGGGGTGAGGGTGTTGCTATCCCTTAAGCCAGGCTGAAGGGGCTCTGGGGGAATCCTGCCCTGGAGCTGCTGCTCCAGCCTGAGCAGGAGCCCATTTGTTTCCAGGATTAGTCTGTGTCAGATGGAAGCACAGGAATAGTGCAGCAGACACAGAGTGAGTGAACTCTTAATCCTGCCTTGGACCTTGAGAAATGAGGGTTTATTTTCCACCTAATGAAACTCTGGACACAATCAGGAATAGACTCAACCAGAATTAGGCAACTTCTCCTCAAAACAGACTGTTACACAAATACCAATGATGAAATGCCTCCCTCTTAGAAATTAGGACTTTTGGGGTTAATTCCTGTTTTCCAAAACCCAGGTGGCCCATCCTTTGGTTTCTGGACTGAAGTGATGGATAAATTTGTCAGATTTTTATCTTCTTGCTTGGCAAGAGGCAGCAGTGAAGTTCTTTCTAAAAGCAGTGCCTCCCTTACCTTCAGGGCTCTCCAAGCAGGAGGTCTGCTTTTGTTTTCTCTTGATTACAAATACTTCATCCATTCCCAACCAACACTTTATACTTGACCAGATTCCTGTAAGCTCCTCAACCTGATTTGGAAGCATCTGTTTCCAACACAATTTGAACTGGAGGACTATTAACAAGATTGGATTCAGACCCCAATCAAGGCAGAGCCCAGGAATTGATGTCATGTGCAGGCTGGCACTGCAGTCCCGGGCAGGGAATGGAGCGGGGGAGCTTTGGGGGCAATAAAAAGTTGATTTTCACAGTCTATCATAGAAAAGCATCTGCAAATCTGTATAGAATGTACTGTGAGGGTCGTCAAAATCAAGTTCTGGGGGTTTTTGGGTAAATAAATACTGCCTGGTTTATGTTTCCAGCTGGGGGCTGGAGCAGGAGAAAGTCAGGACTTGGTTCATGGAATAACCCCCTGAATCTCACAGTTTGCTCACAGAATGCACTGTCCCATAACAGAGAACAGCAGAATTTGTTTCAGAACAGACCAGAGCCCACAGTTCAGTGTCCCAGGCTCAGTGGGGGATTGTGTTCCGTGGTGCAGAAGGTTTTACCCAGCCCACAAGCTGGGGCTTGGGAATGGCACTGGAATTTCAGGGCCATCCCGAGGCCAGGGCTGTCTGGTCACTCCTCTGATTGCAGGGCCTTCTGAAATTCCTTTAATCAGAAAGACAACACCGACTGGAATCAGAACTTCTGGGAATCAGAACTCCTGGAAGAGTTCCAGGTAAATCTGGGGAAGAACTTGCTTTTAATCTGGAATGGATTAACACAAAATGCCTGGAATCCCTCCTTGTTCCATCCTGGTTTATGGCTCCAGCTCATGGTGTTAAGCACTGAGATGTTTTCACACACAAACCTACAATTCTTCCTACAGAAGAAAAATCAGAAAATCTCCCTTTTTTGTTCTTTTAAGTGCAAATCCAAGCTCTGGTAACAAGACAGGTGACTGTAGTGCACAGTCCCAATCCATCCCTTTTCACCAGGTGTTTAAAGCCAAGGTACAAAAGTTTCTCCAAAGATTTTGCTTTTTATTTCTTGATCACAAAATGCCAAAGCTCCACCTGGAAAGAGCATGACTAACAATAACTACTACACTGGGTATGAATATATTAAATATAAAAATACCCCAACACCATGGGCTACCCTTCCCAAGTTTTAGTGTCTACTTACTGACTCCAAGTTATAAATTAACCTGTTCAAAGTAGCTTTAATTTTGGTATTTTCTCTAAACTTGCTATTCTTGTAAGAATTATCATTATAGAAAGGGTACAAATTATTGTTCAGCAAGAAGGTTTTATTATCAGGTTAGAAAAAAATGTGAATTTAAAAAGAATCCACTTCATTTCTGATCGATTTATTAGTAAGCCTACTTGAATCTTTAGCTGTAATAGGAAAATGATACCAAAATGTCAAGGAACAAAACTCCAAAGCTCCCAATGAGCCAGGGAAGGTGGTGAACAAAGCAGAGGGCCCGGGAGGATTTGGGTTCTGGCATCTTTAGAACAAGGCTCAGTCCACAGGTGCAGTTTCCCATCAGGGCCAAGGCAAAGAGCAGGTAAAAGTGCATCTGTGCATCTTCTCTGGAGCTAAACACAAATTTTATACACAAATTATTAAAATAACAGTTCTATAAATACAAAGAAATGTTGAAATGTACCCATAGTAGGCAGTTAGAGATAATTTGGGCATTTTGTGGTATAACCCATTCAAAGACTTTCAGTCATTCTTGTCCTGTCTTTCTGGGGCTCTGAATTTCCTGAGTTTCAGCACAAATCACTGAAAATTCAGGAACTGTTACAGTGCTTGGATCTCTGGTTAATGCCATTTTTGTGGGAGTGCAAACAGCAGGGATAATCTGTTTCCAAATGGTAACTAGTGTTTAAGGAATCTATTGCTGTAGCAGTGTATTTAGCAGACTTTTTTAAAATACTGTGCCATTCCAGGTAGAGAGGGAATATCAACAGCCTTAAAAATTAATTAATCACTTCCATAATCAGTTAAAATATCTGCATATAATGAACAAAGTAAAATCTTCTGGTAGTTTGATGTGTTTGTTGGGTTTTTTAAAATATACTGATTGTTAAAAAAATATACTGATAGTGAAGAGGCTGTGGTGAAAGGTAATGGTACCTTGGCAAAAAGGGGCCAAGATTTAACACTAATTTATGTCTAATTGTAACTTTTATTCCCAGGGTGGAATAGTTTGGAGAAAGAAAAGGGGGGATGCCACTTGCTCATGACAACAATCATAGAAAGCAGATTTCTGCTGATAAATCCAGCTGTAAATTCTTCCCCTGCCAATCAATCTTTCTCCAGCAATCAAAGACCAGTGTTTTCCTAAAATTCTCATCATCCTTCTCTGAATGGGGGGGAAAAAAATCCCATTTTTTTCAGTGAAAAAAGCAGAGTGGGGGTTTGAATTGAGGAGGGCTCGGTGTGAGGGAGAGCCCAACACTGGAAGGAACACAAAATTAAATAAACAATTGCCAAACAGCCACTCACGTTTTTACAGAGCTGAGGGAATCTGCTGCCCAGGAAAACACAGGACACACAGCCACAAATGAAGCCTGGCATTTCAATCAGGTCAGGAGAGCTCTGGACAAGAAAAGCACATGGATTTTGGCAAGAATGCTCGGAGGCATTTCAGAGGATTAAACCCAGAGTCCACGGCTGAGTTTGTGGACAGAACTCCTTTCAGGCAGGGCAGGGCTGCTCTTCAGATGACCAGAGAGGGCTAGGAAGGGTTTAATCTTCATCTCACAACACTGCAGATCAAAACTGCTGCCAGGCTTTGGGATATGACACTGACATCAATCCAGTCCTCCTGCTAAAAAAGCCTGGGCACAATAACTCAAATCAAAACTAAAAACTGTAGACTGAGCCATGAAAAAAAAAAAAAAAAAAACCCTGTCTGGAGAAAGCAAACTACTCATTTTTCACAGTTTAAGAGTTGCTGGTTTTCTCACTGTGGCTGTGTTTTGAAAATAAGCTGCCTCCCTGCTGGGCTGTGCTGCTGGATTACAATTATTTCCCTGGCATTAGCAGGAGGGCCATCAAACTGCTGGAATGGGCTGTGAACTTTCCTGCTGCACTGACAGCAGCAGGTACAATGGTGATTTTCCACTTTTATTGATTTTTTTTGTGGTCTCCACGTGGATGTTTACAACATTTCCCACAGGCAGAGACACAACATTTATGTTCTGTTAGTTCAGAGCAGCGCATCCTCAGGGCCCAAAGGACACAACAAGCCTGGGAAGCTGCTAAAAGAAGCAATTTTATAACTTTTTTATTTTGGGATGGGTGGGAAAAACATCCACATACATGATTGCTATATCCTTGTTAAAAAATCCTCCAGGTTTTTTTTAAGTACACAAACTTTCCAAGAAACTTCTGAATGGGATTTTTATTTTTATTTTTTTTTTTAATGGAAACAGGTAAGAATTGACATTATTCCTTGGGATTGCTGGCCTGTGCTGCTGGTTCCTGAGGAGCAGCTGATAGAGGGCAGTGCCACTCAGAGCTCCACACCCCACAATCCAGGCTGTGCCCAAATTCCTCAGGCTGGGACTGCCTGGAATGACACACAAACAAATTAGCTGAAAAATAACATCTGCTGTTGATTTGAGGTCACTTTCTGTTTGCAGTACAAATATGCAAATGCAAAGGTAGAATTTCATGTCTCTTTTTCTTGGCAGCAGTGGAAGTTCCACCCCCTTTTTCTGGGCTCTGTGCCCAGCCCTGCTCACTGTTGTAGTGCTGAGGGTGGCAGTGGAGGAACTGCTGGGGAACTCCTTGGTGGGCATTGCCCCTGACAGGAAATGTTCATTCTCACCTTCTCTCTTTTATTATGGTTATGTATGATATCTAATTTATGATTAAATAACACCTGACGAACAAAACTGATGAATAGAGCAGAATGTAACTTTCATGCCGCACATCTTGATAAAAAACTGCAAAAGCAAGGATATTTGGAATGTGAATTAGTAAAATCTCACTAAGATATTGATCACTGTGTCATTTTGGACCAGGCAGTGGCCGTTCCATGCTCCAAAGCCTGGGTTTGTGTCCAGAGGAGGCAGCAGGAAGGAAATCCCTCAGCACTGCCCTATCTCCAGGTTTATTATCAGTTCCATATTGAATCTGGTTACCCCCATTTAGTCTGTGGGGAGGCATCTGGTTTACTTCAGCTTTTTGTTACCTCTGCTGTACCATGGATTTTCTTTCCTATTTTTTTTTTTAAATTGATGCGTTAATGGTTTTGATTTGATACAATATGAAGAGAGCTGTCTTCCATTTCAGACAAAACAGTAGTTCTTGGGCAGGCTGAACATTCCAGCCACCACCAGGATTTGCTCAAGCACAACTCTAGTAATTTCATTCCCTGGAATATGATTTTTTAATGCATGTATTGAAACAGAACACATGAAGATGTCAACATATTTTATGCTATAAGCAAATAAAGCCCACATTCAATCAACGGGGAGGAAACCAACTGAACCCCACAAAGAAATGAGGCTTGGTTTCAACTCCCACACATTTCCACAAAAACCATGGAATCAGTTAAAATATGGAACCAGAATCCAAAAATCTATTGCATTTTTTATATCAACTGAAAGTACTCCATGGAAAATATTCACAGATGTGTGTGGGTCAGAAATGAGAAGCAAAGGAAAACTGGAGGCAACAGGTCTCAGAACTCCAAAATTTGTACACTCTGTTTTTGTATCCCTCTGAAATAAAATGTATTTAAATGCTGTAGGAAAATCTCTCAGTCAAGGCTGTGCTGCATCAGGGAGAACATTTTATTGTTGTAAAAACTTACCTTTTGTCACCTTCTGATTCTTGAGCTTACAGTACACAAATTGTGGAATCATAATTAGGTCCTTGTTCTCATAAAAAGCAGCAGTGACAATCTGAAGGAAATGAAACATTTGCTTGTTCAGTAGGCAAGTAATTTGAAATACCTCTCAACTGCACAGAAATGTTGCTTCATAATCATAATGTGCATGACAAACACCAAATCACTGCCAGAAATAAACATCAGTGTAAATATTTGGGCAATTATGAGTTGGTTTATAGATGGCAGAAATAAGAGAACCCTGTGTTAAACACAGAAGGGCTCAGAATGAACAGAGAGCTCACAACTCCGCTAAAGCCCCTGAATTGGAGAGCTGTGATTCAGATTGACAGTGAGGACTAGGGAGCAATCCCAAACCTGAGCCCACTGGACATACCTCGCTGAATTCCATGCTCACAAACATGACAGCTTTAATGTAAAACCCTTCTCCAATTAATATTTCAGCTCACATTTCTGGAGCTCAACAGCTGAGCAAGCGTGGTTTTATTTCACTTGAGCTCCACAGCCCTTTTACCAGGCCAGTAAATTAGATCCCCATTATGGGAACAGACTTTGGAGTCAACCCCATTTTTTTCCAGGCATTTTCAGCTGCTGAGATAATTTCCCCTTTTCCTTTGTCATGTCCTACCTGCATTCTGAAAGCTGACCACAGTGACCAAGTGATTCAGCACTGTGCAAGTGCCAACTCCAGGGCTGCTCCTGACCTTTTCCCAACCCAAACTGAATTGGCAGGACAGGATTGCTGGGAAAGCATGGATTTAAATAAACCTTGAGCCAGCTTGAGCTGCAAGTGCACACACAACTCGGGGTGGAGAAGATAAGAGAGGAGAGGTGATTTATTCTCATTTGCTCTAAGTGGCAGAGATTAGTGTCAAGTCAGTACAACAGCACAGTACATCAAACTCATTTGTCAACCACCAAATATTTTTGCAAACATGAACAACATGCTTCTCTGGCATATTATTCTGTCTGTATTATGCAGATAGAGGAACATATCCAAGATAAAATTAAAAAAAAAAAAAAAAAAAAAAAAAACAAAAAAAAAAAAAAAAAAAAAAAAAAAAAAAAAAAAAAAAAGAAAAAGGCAGCTTTTGCAAAAGGCTTCAGGCAAGATTACTCATGTTTGAATTTGAGAACTGCTTAAGACTTTCAGCTTAGGGGAGTGCAGCAGGCAGCGAGCAGACAATGGCAATGAGCCCTGCTCCAGCCCTCCCACACATCCCTGGCACATCCTTGCAGGAGGTGCCAAACCCAGGGCGCTCCGATCCCGCACAATCTCCTGCTCTCTGCTGGGGAGCTGCTGAGAGCAGCTGAGGAGCCATCACTCCTGGATGGAGCTCCAATCCCACGAGCTGATTTCTGCCCCCATTCCCAGCCCGTGCAAATCCCCAAATCCGGTTAGGGATGCTGAACATCCTCTGTGCAAAGCCCCGCACATCCAGTCGGCTGCAGCAGCCCCAGTCTCCCGCAGGAACCTGCCAGATTCCAGGGAATAAACACAGCCCCCGTGAACCAGGCATCCCCCACACAATGCTCGCTCCTCTTCGCTCATTGCAGACACGAGCTGGACTTCCAAGAAAGAGAAATACTTTGTGGATCCAATATGTAACACCTCAGATTTATCACTGCAGCATTTTAGTGTGAGCTCGTGGTGGTCTGTGACAACGAGGGGCCAGAAATCTGCCGCAGGATAAGCTAAACCAGGGAATTTATTGGAATCTAAGACCAGAACTCTGATTTTTCATGTTCAATGTGATGCTAATAAAGTCACAAAACTTTCCTTAGAGGTACTTACCCAGATTCTGAACATGCTACTCCCTCTTTAAAAATATATTTATATAAAATATTTATCTATCTGGTGGTTCCATGCAATTAATTTGGAGATAATGCTCTGAACAAGAAGTAAGTTATGACTCAGATTCCAGGTGGGCTTTAAAGTCACTAAAATGCATCCAGCCTAATCAGTGACTCAACACAGTGTCAAACAGTTTGTGTCATTGAACACTCCACAGGAAACATGGGAAGCATAAAAAACTTGCAGAAGGCACTTGTAGGGTGATCCTGCCCCCAAAACTCCCTAAATGATGCCACCATTATGCACCAAACTATTCCAATCTTGAAAAAGTCTCAAAATTTGTTTTCACAGAGCATAATTCTCTGTAAAATTAGGACTCACTTTGCTCATCAACCAGAAACTCCTTTTTCTTTCCATGAGACTTCATATTTTTATGGCTTTAAATGCTGGAACAAGTTTCCTGCAGGAGTTGGCTGCCTCTCCAGAGAACTGTCATCATTGGACCTAAACCAATTAAACAATAAAAATACATTTATACACTGAGAAATCACCTGAGCCTGGAGGATATATTCAGTTTATTCTGCTTATACTGGGGAAGTTACTAGATTTTGCAGCCATCTTTGAAAATAACTTTTTAAGTTTAAAAAAATGTTGCATGTAGTGTTTCAAGTACTTTTTATCCCATTCTGGCACTGTGCAGCTGAGCAGACTCACTAAAACAAGACGTGGTATTTAAATTTGATTTTTGGGTTGTTACTATTCAATATTTATGCAGCAGAATATTTGTGTTGCCAGTCCCTGAGACTATAATTTTACTATTACAAAAATTGCTACTTTTCTTAAATCCCTGGCAAAATGTCCTGTCCCAGGAAGAGCAAACCCAGGAATTCCACATAAAAGGAGGACAAGGAGACTGCCAGAACATTTCTTTGTTTGCTGTAGTATTGAAGTTGTCAGTGATGAGAAAAGCATAGGATGGTTTGTGTTGGAAGGGAGCTTAAAGATCATCCAGTTCCACCCCCCAAATTATAAAACTATATTAAAAATGGTTTATGTTCCTATAACAATTCTTTGCCTGTAACCTCATATTCTGTCTGAGATTGCTGCTCAAATACTGGTTACTTCCATATGGAGAAGTTCCAGAGAAGGTGTGACCTGGACCCTTGGCACCATCCCCTTTTGCAAAGGTTTAGTGCTTGCTCAGCTACAAACACTGTTGTGGTCCAAGGTATTTAGGAATAAGGAATCAGTAACCTGAGCCTCTCGCTTGGACACTTTTTTTTCATTTTAATATCTTACTCTGGAGTGAGTAAACAGAAATAGACAATGGTTTAGAAGTGAAATCTACATGCTTAGGAACAGGCTCCCAGCGCAGACAAGGAAATGCAGGTTTTCCCTGGAATTTGGGAGGTTTGGCACAGCTCCTCTGCCTCTCCAGCTGCTGTGAACATCCCTGCGCTCTGGATGTCAAACACCCAGGACTGCGAGTGATGTATGAGGATGTCAGATGTGTGTTTGGCTGGTGTGCCAAAGGTCTTTAAACTGCAGTTAAGAACAGATCAAGCCCCAAAAGGGGTTCAGTTTTACAGTGTTCATCGCTTAATTCCTGCTGGGGAAGGAAAAGGTGGAGCTGGGCTATGGAGTAACCAGGGCTTCTTACAAGTATGCCCTAGTATTAATCCGGTCACTGGATTTCGGCCAAAACTGTTCTCTGAAAGCATTTTAGACACTCCTGGTTGTGAATTCTGCTTGGCCAGATTTCACCTGGAAACCAAGGCCAGTTCCCAGAGAACAACCTCAGTTTATCTTAACGTGGGATAGTGGAAGGTGTCCCTGCCCAGGGCAGGGCTGGAACGGGATGAGCTTTACCATCCCTTCCAACCCAAACCAGTCCGGGTTCTTTGATGCTATGATCTAGGATTTTATGGCTTTATTAACAATAATAAACCAAAGAACTGAACAGAAGGAAGCGCCTTTCTGGAGAGCCCGGCATCCCATCCCGGAGAGCCGCAGCCTGCGGGAACGGGGCTCCCGGGGCTGCCGTTCCCCTCTTCCCTGCGGAGAAGGGAGCGGGTCCCGGGGGGAGCCACGGGAACGGGCGAGGCAGGACACGGGAATAAAACCGGGAACGGCGCTGGGAGCGGGCCCGGGCACCGGCAGCGGAGGACACGGACCCGAGCGGGGCCGGCACGGATCTGCAGGGCTGCGGCTGCCGCTCCGGCATGCGGCGGGCTCGCCTCGAAGGAGACCCTGCGGACGGGGAGAGAGAAGGGGAGCACGGGGAAAGCGGGATGGCCGGGGTAGCTGGGATGGCTGGGATGGCGGGGATGGCACGGGATGTCCGGGGCAGCACGGTCCCCACAGCGGCCGCCCCTGCCCTGCCCGCGGCCGCCATCGCCTCAGAGCGCGGGCGCGGGGCGCCCCCTGCTGGCGGGCGGGCGGCGCTGCGGCCTCAGCTCCCTGAGGGCCGGGCCCGGCGGAGCCGAGCGGCGCTGCGCCCTTCGGCCCGGGCACCCCGCCAGGCGGGGATTTAATCCCTGAATCCCAGCCTGAGAGGGCACACAGAGGGTGATCTGCTCCCCTGGTCCAGATGTGCCCTCCAGCGCTGGGCAGAGGGGCGGCATCACCGCCTGACCTGCGGGAATTGGAACAGCATCGTGAGACCTTCCCAGTGCGGCGCCAGCACCCACCTGCTGGCTTAAACACGTTTAATCTGATCAACAAAGGCCACGGTACAAAGAATTCTAATTGACAATCCTAGGATCTTTGTAGGGATCTTTGTCCTTTTAGAAACATAGAACGGTTTGGGTTGGCAGGACCTTAAATCCCATCCCATTCCACCCCCTGCCATGGGCAGGGACACTTCCACTGTCCCAGGTGGATCCAAGCCCTGTCCAGCCTGGCCTTGGACATTTCCAGGGATCCAGAAGAAGCCACAGCTGCTCTGGGCACTTGTGCCAGGGCCTGCCCACCTGCACAGGGAAGAATTTTCCCCTAATATCCCATTTAACCATGCCCTCTTGCTCAAGGCTATTCCCCCTTGTGCTATCACTCGAGACCCTTGTGAAAAGTGCTCCTCCAGCCTCTTTGCAAGCCCCCTTAAGGTCCTGGAAAGCCAAACATGAATATTTTAGAATATTTTGATAGGGAAGAGTGTTGTATAATTTACTGAATTTTTAATACTGTTTTACTTTTCATTCTCATACCGGCTCATCATGTCAGTGGTTGCTGCAGCCTAGCTAATTAACACAGGGCTGGGGGAATGATTAAAGGCAGGCTCTGGCTATCTGCATTGTTCTAGTTTAATTGCTGCTCAGGCAATGATTCAGTGCTGGTTTTGGCAGTTGAGCTGCATTTGTCTGGCACGGTGAAATTCCCTGATATGTCCATGACACTCATCCGTTGGGGATGGGCAAAAGCAGGAGGGTTTGTAGCACTTCTGGTGGCAGGCTTGTGCAAGGAACAGGTTTTGTTATGTGGGGAAGACCAGGCTGGAGTGGAAGGTGTCCCCTCCATCCCAAGCACTCCAGGATTCTGTGGTTGTAGGAGGGGAGCTCCTGGGTGGATTGACCCTTCATGCAAGCACGTTGTCCAGCTGGTCTGAATCCGCCCCTGTTTCCTTTGGATCTCTGCTGCAGCCTTGGCACAGGTCCTCTTTCTCACCTTGTCTCCTTTTGTTCCTGAATTTTTAAAAACTCATGTTAATCATAGGAAAAAAAGGAGCAAAAAGCAATTTGTATGTGGAAAAGTGGTGTAAAGATAACTCTAAAATCCTTCCAGAGACTAAAAAAAGTTTTCAGAAACAGAGATTGAGATTCCTGGATTTATCCCAGCCTGTTGCTGTCCCTGTTCTTGAATAAACACATCTTTGATGCCACGAGCTACATTTCATGACACTCCCTTAAAAAAGAAGTGACTAAAGAGAGGATAATGTGGAAGACAGCCAATTACTCCATAAATGTAAACGACATTAAAAGTGGTGTGTAACATTATATATTTATGGCTACAGTTTTGTTCTGCTGTCACATAAGAAAATGAATAATGCATCAGTCCAAGAACTTGTCATTAAGTGAATTTCTTTGTTGCCTTGCTACTAAAATATAAAAATCCTTTGTGTGTATATATGTGTGACATTAACCCCTCCTGGGAGCAAAATATAGGGTGGGTGAAGGCACTGTTAGAGTGGCAAATCAAAGTAGATTTTATCATTTTACAGGTGAAATAATGTTAAGGATTTGAAGACATTCAGGAAGTTTTTTGGTTTTTTCTGTGGATGAGAGGTGATAAATGCACTTCACTTCTGAAAAACAAACTCCTCAGTACAAGAAGGACAGGGATGCACTGAATCCAGGGGTCAGCCTGGAAATGGTTCAAAATCCAGCTGGAGGTGGCCCTGACCACCCTGCTGGGGCTGGGCTTGGTGGTCACTGGAGGAACCTCCCAGTCTCAACCCCACTCTAAGGGATGGAACACTGAATAATTACAAAGTTGAGACTCTTAGGTGGTTAAAGTTAAGCTGAAGAATCTGCTGAGCTGAGATCTGGAACCTCCTAAAAACGTCTCTGACATCCATGGTCTCCACCCCCAGCTCCCGTGGGTTTCCCTCTCTTTTCTGTGTTGCCTTCCTTTAATCCTTGTCCTCCCAAAGAGAGAAGTGACCATCTATTTACAGCCTGACAAGGGAGACCAGAGGGCCAATCTCACTGCTGATTAGGAGAAAATTGCCTTTATGGTTAAAGTCAGTTAAACTGGATATGGAATTTCAGGCCCCAGCTGAAATCCTCATCCTGTCCTGAGAGTCCTGCTGAGGGAAAAAAAGGAAACCCTAATTCAGTTGAATGAGGGTGAAACAATTTTGGTGTTGTGCCTCCCAGGCTCCTCAATGTAGATGCATGTGATGAGTTTGCACCTCTCAAAAGTAAGATTAAACTTACCTGAAATACCATTTATCTCAGAATGCATTAATCTGATTTTTTTTCTATTTTCTCCTATTTCTCCCTAACGTAATTGACAGC